TTCCACTTTACTTTCTTTCTTTCTTCCTTTCTTTTCTTTCTTATCTCTCTGTTGTCACCCAGGCTGGAGTGCAATGGTCCAATTTCAGCTCACTGCAACCTCGCCTCCCTGGTTCAAGCAATTCTCCTGCTTCAGCCTCCTAAGTAGGTAGGATTACAGGCATGTGCCATCACGCCCGGCTAATTTTTTAATATATTTAATAGAGACAGGGTTTCACCATGTTGGCCAGGCTGGTCTCGAACTCCTGACGTCGTGATCCACCTGACTCGGCCTTCCAAAGTGCTGGGATTACAGGTGTGAGCCACCGCGCCCAGCCCTCCACTTTTCCACGGTACTTCATCCCCGGTCATGTGTGAAAGATGTTACTCCATCAAATCTTTTTTCTCTTCTGTATCACTGATTATTCCCATTTCTAGAGTATACAAACATTTTTTCCTCATCTTAATAATACACTTCCTTGTCTCCACATCCCTCTTTAGTTACTGCCCTATTTCCCTGCTTCTCAAGCAAAACTCCGGAGTGTCTCTCAATTCTGTTTACTTTTTTCCACATCTTTCTCTTTTTCAGATCCACCATACTGTTCATAAAAGGGATTCCCTCCCCCAACCTTTGTGCTTGTGCTCTGTCCTTAAGCACGATACTTTTTTTGTTGTTAAGACGGCGTTTTGCCATGGTGGCCAGGCTGATTTTGAACTCCTGACCTCAGGTGAGCCACCCGCCTCCGCCTCCCAAAGTGCTGGGATTACAGGCATAAGCCACCGTGCCCAGCCTAGCAGAATACTTAAAAAAAAAAAAAAAAAAAAACTTTTTCCTCATTATTAAAATGGGAGTAATAATAATTGACCTGCTTTCCTAACAGTTGTGAAAAATCAGGTAAGATCAAAGGCATGGAAACATTTAGTGAATTGTGAATTGTAAAATTAGAAATAAATTTTGCAGCTTTTAAATAAATCCTTTCATCAGTTTTTGTTTTGATCATTCTTTTCACTATCCTTTCTGAAAAAGGTTTGTATGAATGAAATCTTCTCATTCTCTTAGCTTGACATAATCAGCAATTTTGAACAGTGTGTTAAAAACAGTGAACAAGGTCCTGCTGTGATAGATACTGCATAGGATTCTGGTTAATTTGCTAAATTTAAGCCTACTGTGGCACAGTGAATTCTACTGAAGGACACTACCCCATCTGTTCCCTATAAGTTTAGTTAAATAAATGTCTTTTGTAGTGTCACGAAAGCTAATTTTACAAGTGAATGAACGTTACAAACCTCTTAAACATTATGTAAACTTATTTCAGCAGAGGAGGTAGACCAGCTACAAATGACTGGTAATACATGAATAGATCCTAGAGCCTTAAACTGGTAGATAAAATTGTTCTCACTTATTCCCCACACACTTCTGGTTGAATTAGATAGGCAGCTTGTTTTTGCTAGTGCACTGGAGCGATCCATTCTTTGGCTATATAGAAACTTTAGAAGTTGCAGGTATCTTGGGAATTCTGCTTACTCAGTTTTCAAATTCTTATGCTTCTTTTGGCCTTGTTGGAATCATACTGTTAGGAATATATTTTAGAATAGATTAAATTGGCATGTATAGGTTGGCTTAAGAGCCTAAATACCATTTTACATAACTTCTGTGGGAAAAATGGGTTTTGGATTTCAAATCATGTATTTAAGATAATAAAATAGCCTTTGGATTATAATCCCAATTGGAGGATTACCTTTGTTTAGTGTCTGCCTCTTTTCACATAATTAATGTTATACTATTGGTTATTGTTTCATTATAAAAATCTCTTGTACTAAATTACTTTATTCCTTAGGTCCAGTGAGGAGACTTTTCCTGTTTGTACTGAAGTCAGCTGACATGTTTAAAATCAAATTTGTATTTGTAGAATTAGCAGGAACCTACCTTGGGACAGAAATTCAGGAAATAACTCTGGTGCCTATACCAGTTTCTCAAGTGGAAGGACACCAGCCAAGGAACCAAAAAACGCAAAACATTGCCTGCAGTGTAAACATAAGAAATCCTTTATTAAAGATATTTGGCTTTAGGAATCTCCTTTATTTTGCTAATTGCTGATAGCCAAAATTTAGTCGGTATTTTTTAATTAACTAAGCCATGTAGTATTAGAACTGCCTTAGACCTTTTTCTTTTAAATGAAATAAACCTCTTTTTTCTCTTTGAAACTCCAGTTTTTTCCAAATTACTCAAATAATTCAGGCTTCTTAAAGTAAATAAAGTATATTTAGTAAAATGTGAAAGCCTTCCTAAATTACTCAAATAATTCAGGCTTGTTAGAGTAAATAAAGTATAGTAAAATGTAAAAGGCTTTTGCCCCTAAGTAACCACTGTAAACTCTGTATATCCCTCTAGTCCTTTTAAAAAATATATTTACACATAATGAGTGAACACAGTTATGCTGTTTTAAAAAATTAATTGCTTAGCAACTAGCTGTTTTCCTCAAAGATAGTTACAAACATTTCATTATATTGCATAGTGTTCTAATGAATGTATGTGCATTAATTCATTTTTCTCTTTCCCCTTGATGGATGTTTAGGGTCGCTTTCAATTTTTAGTATTGCAAACAGCAGTGTAGGGCACATACTTTGTACCTTTGTCTTTGAAGTTCTTATATGAGCATCTCTAGCATTGATTTCTAGATGTGGAATTATTTGGTCAGAGTGTAGCAGATTGCCTTAAAAAATGTCTGGTCAGTGCTTACAAATTTTAACAATATTATGTACAAATACCATCTTGCATATGAGTAGCCAGGATTCAAATTTAGGTACTCTGCCTCTAGAGCCTATGTGTTTAGCCTTTCTATTTCATCTGCCTTGTGTCCCCATCAGTAAAAGAGGATAATAGTATCTACCTGTGTACTAGTTAACCTATAACTGCATGAAAAATTACCCCTTACTTAATTAAAACAGTAAACATTTACAGTTTGATAATTTCTGTGAGTCAGAAATTCAGGGATATTTTAGGTCTGTGGTTCTTCGGAGTCTCATGAAGTTGCATTAAGGGCTTCATTCTGTGCATTAAAGGCTTGACTGGCTCGAGGATTCCCACTGAAAGTGACTTCATCAGTGGCTAACAACTTGGTGATGGTTCTTGACGGAGGCCTCAGTACCTCCCTGTCGGGGTCACTGCCTGCCAGGGGTCTGTCCTGCAGGCTCTGACTTAATGAGAATGAATAAATTCACTCAGACACAGAATGCAGGGAACAAGTGTGCTGGAAAAGAGTGCTGTAAAGAGATAGCAGCCACTGTCCCCTACCAGCTGCCCCTGCAGGCATTTTATTCAGTATAGATTTAATAACAGAGGCTCTAAGTCAACACACTTAGGGATAATGATTAAAGGCCAGCACACATTAAATGACAAAGGCGTTAACACTAGAGGGTATAGATTAAAGGCCAGGTTCTGAGGCCTAAAGCAAACACTATTAGTGGGGTAATATCCCTGGTCAACCTTCCCCTAAGAGAGCCATCCAGAATGAGTAAGGATTAGTTTATAGGACCACTTGGGTAAACAAGTTAGGTAAATTCCCCACATTCCTTTGTTTCTACTCTAATTTATTTAAGGGGACAAGGCTGCTTTCAACTAAGTATTATAGTAAAACCCTTAGGCCTTCCAAAAGGGTTTTTTAAGATGGTGGCTCGCTATGTTGACCAGGCTGACCTTGAACTGTTGGGATTACAGGAGAAATGACTACTTTTTTTTTTTCTGGAGACGGAGTTTCGCTCTTGTTACCCAGGCTGGAGTGCAATGGCGCGATCTTGGCTCACCGCAACCTCCACCTGCTGGGTTCAGGCAATTCTCCTGCCTCAGCCTCCTGAGTAGCTGGGATTACAGGCATGCGCCACCATGCCCAGCTAATTTTTTTGTATCTTTAGTAGAGACAGGGTTTCACCATTTTTACCAGGATGGTCTCGATCTCTTGACCTCGTGATCCACCCGCCTCGGCCTCCCAAAGTGCTGGGATTACAGGCTTGAGCCACCACGCCCGGCCATGAAATGACTACTTTTAATTGTTGTTGGCCTGAACTAGAATAGTGCCAGTGCACCAGAGATGCACGGTAGTGCTCACATTAGGAAATAATTAGACGGTAAGTTTAGCTATGTTGTGGCACTTTTTTAAGTACACTATTATGATTGTTTTCCTTTGGAGGAAAAAAGAAAAACCATGCCCATAATGTTTAATATTACATTAAGTACATTTTTATTTTTAAATGCATAATTTTGTAAGAAAGAATTAAGTAGCTAGGAAAAAAGTCTGATTTCTTTAATGTTAACCATGCCTTTGTCTCTAGTGGAATTGATGATAAACCACCATTATTTATATAGGAGGGAATAAGCAGTACAATGGAAATTGTAGCCCTGGTTATATACTGGGACTATGGTGCCCAGGTTTAGATTCACTCTTGAGATGGTTTATTGGAATGGGAACATTGGCATGGGGTTCAGCACAGTTGCAGGAGTTGTAATTGCATCTACTGTGGGCCATGTCTTTTCCAAGAGAAACCTTGTGCTAAGTTCTATCTCTGCCTTTGAAGCATCCAGAAAGAAGGCAGTCTTTCTTGCTAATCTATTTTAAAGTATGCTCAGTTGGTTGTGTTAGGGGTGATTTAGACAAACTAATTTAGACACAGTTCTTCCACAAATACATTATGGTTTAAATGCTTCTAGGACATTCAGCGAAGGTGTTTAGTAGAGAGTTAAGTGTGCATAAATGAAGGTTGAGGAGAGACCTGGGCTGGAAATACAGATGACATCTACATGGTTATTAAAACTAGAAGTACACACAGTGGATTCTCCTGGAAGTCTAAGTAATATTTAAAGGCTGGCCAGGGAAGAGGATTTCCTGAAGCAGTGAACAGAGAGATAGGGAAACCAAAAATATGGCATCATGGAAGCCAAGGCATGGCGGTATGTAAAGGAGGGACATGTCAGTACTGTTACACATGGAAAGAGTAAGATAGGCGAGGATTAAAAAGGGTCTTATGAGCTTTGTGCAGTGGCAGTATCATAGCTAATGAGGTTTATCCAAGGCATGGTTATTGCTAATTGAAAACTTTTCCCAGTACTCCGCCATGACGACTTGAAGAAATATACTCTGCATTGGCAATTTTTGACAATCTCTACAGAGACTGGAAAAAAAAAAGTTAAAGAAGTGTTTTATAATGTTGCAGAATTCAGCGATGTTGGTAAAGAGCAGTGTTAATGGAATGGCCATGGGATTGGGGGAGCACTACCAATTTCATGTTTTTGTTTATTAGCACAGTATTGCTCTCTTTTGAGTAGTCGGTTTGGGATTATGATTAAGTGAAGACAGTGTGTGTATTTGCATTTTTGAAGAATTAGATTAAGGGGAGAGAGTCAAGGAGGAGACAAGGTTGTTAAGTGTTTATTTTTAAGATGATAAAGAGTTAGGTCTAAGTGTGAATGAAAGTGAACTGACAGAGAGGCTGAAAAAGCTGGGGAGATAGGAAAAATAATGAATTTAGTAAGATAATGAAAAATACTTGGAGGAGAACCAGAGGACAGGTAGAAAGAATTAGGTTTGAAAGAAAGGGACACTACTTTTATTTAATAGGTGAAAAGGAGATGTAGGTGGGTCTGGATGCAACAAAGTTAAGCAGAAAGTTGAAAATAAGTTTCTCTGTCTTCTGTTTTTAATAAGCTACAAAGTGATCACCTATAGAGAGTGGGAGAGGGTTCTGGGAATCAGATTTACAGTGCCGATTTGAAATACCCTTTTGGAGGATGGAGAAGAGGGCTAAGCATGGGAACAAAGGATTTAATGTATCCTTTTCTCCACTAGCATTTAGAAAATGGGGTGTAAATGTAGATAGGCAGTCTCTTAGGTAAAAGTTGAGATTTGTTAGCTAAGTAAGGTTAGGAGAATGAGACACCCCAGAGTGGTTGAAGTGAATTTTAGGGGCTGAGTACTGATAGAAATAAATGGTCTTGGTCCAAATACAGAATTTTGCCTGTCAGGAGCAGTAGAAAGACAAGGAAGTCTTTGATATTACAAAGAAGGTGTTAGGAGCAATGACAGTGTTGTCTAAGCAAAATAGAGCTGATAGTGAAGATGGACATGAAAGTAGAGACTCTAGGGACCAAGTCTGAAGGAGGCTCAAGAGCAAGTGTAGTGAGCAATTGCTAAGAGCTGGTAGGAACAGGAGACTGGTCACTTATAATTTTAAAGATGGAGTGGTTTTTGGATGACAAAATTCAGCCTGTATTCCATGAGTTTAGATAGATGAGTTAAATGGATTGTAAGTAACAATTATTGTTGTGTTCAAGGTAAAGGAGCAATGCCAGAATTTTAGACAGGTCGGTGAACCTGGTTCTAAAGTGTGGTTCAGTTATTTTCTTTGAAGTGATACTGTTGGGTCAAATCCCTGCACCTCCCCCACCACCTTAAAAATGTTGAAGCATCTTGGCATATTGCCCTCAAAAATTTTGGTCATTTGATACTTTCTTATTCTGAGAATGTGTCTCTTCACTTTTAATGACAAGACTTATCAAAACAATCTTTCCAATGTGACAGTTTATTGGATTAATAACATGACGCATCAAAATTTATGTTTGGGCTGGGTGCAGTGGCTCACACCTGTAATCCCAGCACTTTGGGAGGCAGAGGCGGGTGGATCACAAGGTCAAGAGATTGAGACCATCCTGGTCAACATGGTGAAGCCCCCATTTCTACTAAAAATATAAAAATTAGCCAGGCGTTTGGCACCCGCCTGTAGTCCCAGCTATTCAGGAGGCTGAGGTGGAAGAATCGCTTGAACCCGGGAGGCGGAGGTTGCAGCGAGCCGAGACTGCGTCACTGTGCTCCAGCCTGGTGACAGAGAAAGACTCCATCTCAAAGAAAAAAAAAAATCAGGTTTGGTTACTAATAAGGTTAAGCTTTTCTATGTTATGACTGTGTAATTGTGAATTGTCTGTCCTTTGTCCAATTTTTTTTATTAGTGTAAAATTTTGTGCCTTTTTTTTTTCTTAAGACAGTCTCGCTCTGTCGCTTAGGCTGGAATGCAGTGGCGTGATCTTGGCTCACTGCAGCCTCCGCCTCCCAAGTTCAGGCAATTCTCGTGCCTCAGCTTCCCAAGTAGCTGGGATTACAGACGTGTGCCACCATGCCCAGCTAAGTTTTGTATTTTTAGTAGAGACAGAGTTTCACCATGTTGGCCAGGTTGGTCTTGAACTCCTGGCCTCAAATGATCTGCCCGCTTCGGCCTTCCAAAGTGCTGGGATTACAGACATGAGCCACTGCACCCAGCTGCCTTTTCTCTTTCTTATTTTTTCTTTTCATTATTTGTCCATTTTTCCTGTTTGAGTTGTATGTTTACCCTGTTAATTTTCCTTTTTTGTTGAATAAACATTTTTAGTGTTTAGTCAGATTATTTCTTTAGCCAAATCATACAGGTATTTTGGAGTTCCCATTATTTTTAATATTCTTTGTTGGGTATTTTTTGTTTTGTTTTGCTTTTTAGTTTTTGAGTTGGAGTCTTGCTCTTGTCACCCAGGCTGAAGTGTAATGAAATGATCTTGGCTCACTGCAACCTCCGCCTCCCGGGTCAAGCAATTCTTCTGCCTCAGCCTCCCGAGTAGCTGGGATTACAGGCATGTGCCACCATGCTCAGCTAATTTTAGTATTTTTAGTAGAGACAGAGTTTTGCCGTGTTGGCCAGGCTGGTCTCAAACTCCTAACCTCAAATGATCCATCTGCCTTGGCCTCCCAAAGTACTGGGATTATAGTTGTAAGCCATCATGCCCACCCTTAATATTGTTTAATCAGTTATGATTTCTTTGAAACAAAAGTTATTTAGTAGTTAATGATTAAAGGTCCTTTTTAGGTTTTCTTAATTTATGGGGCTTTTTTCTTTGTGTCCTCTCCTTCCTCCCTCATTTTTGATATATAAAGCTAGAGAGCGTCCATTATTTAGGCTTTTTGAAATCCGAAATGTTTTACCTCGTTCTAACCTGTCAAGAATGAGATATTTCTGCCTATTTTCTTTGACTTGTTGCTTCCTATGTGTCTGTTTTCTTCACATATGTCTATGTACTGTTCATTTATTCATCAACAGAAAAATGAAGCACCCACTCAATGCTAAACCACTATGTATTGTTTTGAGAACTGGGTTTGCTCAGAGATACACTTGGTCTGTAATTTATTTGTAGTTTTCACCAAATAATCACACTTGCAAGTATTGTATACTTTTGTCCCTCTATAAACAAAAAAGTTTGAAAGGAAGTTTACCATTCACCACTGAGTGTACCACTCATGCTCTGCCATCACTTGGTTGACTTGGCAAGTCTTTTATTTAGCATGTAGGATAGCAGTCCTCAAATGATTTGGTTTCAAGACTTGTTTACATTTAAATAAGTCATTGAGTGCTCCAAAATAACTTTTGTTGATGTGCTTACATTTATTTAATTTATTTTTTAAGACAGATTCTCACTCTGTCACCCAGGCTGGAGTGCAGTGGCGTGATCTTGGCTCACTGCAACCTTTGCTTCCAGGGTTCAAATAATTCTTGTGCCTTGGCTTCCCAAGTAGCTGGGATAACAGGAGTGTACCACCACTCTCGGCTAATTTTTTTGCATTTTTAGTAGAGACGGGGTTTCTCCATGTTGGCCAGGCTGGTCTCGAACTCCTGGCCTCAGGTGATCCTCCCACCTCAGCCTCCAAAAGTGCTGGGATTACAGGTGTGAGCCACTGTGCCTGGCCCAATGTACTTACATTTATTAATGTTTGCCATATTATAAATTAAAACAGACTTTATTAATGTTCATTTAAATATAACAGATTTATTGTAAGTATTATTGTTTTTTGCAAAAATATGTGCCAAAATAACAGTAACAACAACAAACCGTTGAGAAGACTGACACTTTTACATTCCTTTGCAAGTCTCATGTTTGGCTTTAAAACGATTTTACTTGTGTTAGTTTTACCTTTGAAATGGGGAACAGTGGAAAATAGTAGATTGAGGTTTTTGTGATAGATTTCTATTTCGGGGAACATCAGAATAGCAATGATGCTACTAACCCATTTCAGGAATACCAGTGTAGCAAGGATGGTTTATACGGTATTTGCAAAATATCCTGCTTGCTTGGAGTCATAAGAGATGGTAACCTCTTTATTTCGGTTTCCTCATCTATAAAATTGAGTGGGTAACAGTTCCTTTGGTCCCATAGCTTTAGGGATTATGTGAAATTGTATGTTAACATATTTGAAGCTAAATAAACTTTTATCTTTGAAGTACACACCATCACTTTTTAATTGTACAAAAGAAACCTAAGTTTGTAGCCCTTGTTAGTTTTTCAGATAAACTCAAAGATAATTTTCAAGAAGTATCCTGGGAAATTGAAGGAATTTGAATTTTTCTCCTTGGTTCCTGTGCCTTTAAAGTAATGAAAATTATATTAAGGCACATGGGAAAGTCATCTCTGCCCTTTTTTACTCCTATGCCTCCCTACTTAACAGGTTAAGAAGTCTATTAGACTCGTTTTCCCAAATACTTTATAAGGAGCCTATTGTCACACAATTTTAGGAATTGAGACTATAAAGGTCATGGATTCCAGCTCTTACAGATGAAACTGTTGCAGAGCAGTGAAGTCGTCTGGTGATTCTCAGCCTGGGCTGAACTTTGGAACCACCTGTAAAGCTTTTCAAAAATACTGATGTCAAGGTCTCACCCTCAGAGATTATGTTTTAATTGGTCTTTGTAAAGTCCCCCTGGTGATTGTAATAAAATACAAGACTCTTAAAATGAATCATTTGCCTTTTAACATTCACAATTTAACTTTTAACATTGAAGTATTCTTATTGATGAGACTGTTTTATTTCTTAGACATTTTAGTGATCGAACTTTATTTTCTTGCTCTGCAGAAAATAAACCCATAAACATTATGTAAATCAAAACTTTGATGTTGGAAACTTTGTTTTAAATTAATGAAATCAACTAGTGAATTTTAAAGAACCTATGTGTATTAGATGGTTTTAAAGTTTATGCCTATCATACCCTAATAATGTGAGTTAATGTTGAATCTTTTTTGATATAAATCAGAGAAACATAATCTTTGAGGTTTTGGAAGGATTAATAATTATGTATATAATTTTTTGTCTTCCACTTATTCAGATTCTGGATTGTCATTTTTTTTTTAGACTTTCTCCAAAAAAAAAAAATCTTTATTTTTCCTATAGGTGAAAGCACTGAAAGAGAAGATTGAATCTGAAAAGGGGAAAGATGCCTTTCCGGTAGCAGGTCAAAAATTAATTTATGCAGGTATGAATTAAATATTAAAATTAACATGCCATGTCTTGCTTATAGTGATAATCTTTTAGAAATGTTATCTTACAAATTGTAGTGTATTCAAATTGATTGTCAGAAAAATGATTGTACATATAAAAGCAGTGAAAGAGCAGTCATTTAAATATATTAATATTCAATCTTCTCTTTATTCACATTTGCCCCATGTATTTTTTCATCAAATGGTGTTTGTTTTGTTTAGTTTTATCTTTTGTAAGCATCATGTAACTGGCTTTTGTGTTTTTAATCAAACTGAGCTTTTTTTAAAAAAATTGAAACCATTCATACTGTTTGTGTTATTTATTATTAGTGTGCTTAGAATCATTCCTGTAAAATTAAATTTTAATGAAAACTGAAGAATACAGAAAAACAATGCACAGAAAAGCACAAGAAGAAAAATAATAATATTCAGATTATTTAAAGAATTCTTAGAAATTAATAAGGAAAAGACCAATAAAGCAACAAAGGATAAGAATAGGAATGACAAATTTAGCCTCACTAGTAAACAGGAAAATATATATTAAAAATACACTCGATATCCAAATTTAGTAGAGAAAATACTTTCATTGTAGATGTTGGTAAGGTGGGTGTTTGACCGCCCATAGATTCTTCTTTTATTCTGAATAGTGTTTCTTAAACTAAGACAGCCTGGAGGAAATGCTAATGTGGTGATTCAATCCCATTATTTTTGTAGGTCAGAATTCAGAACCTAAAGAAGCAGACATAAAATTTAAATTTCCAGTTTCTAGCTTTGACCTATTTTCACATTCCTAACTATATTCCTTTCTGTCTTAATGTTAGTAGCTTTTGATTCAATAGCTTTTTAAAGATGGAAGACTAAATTCACGGAGCAGGAAACATCAGGGAGTCCTACCTACCTACCTACCTACCTTCAACATGACCACAGTCTTGTGTACTTCTTCTTGCATTTTGAGTTCTGTACCATCTTGCACTTTCTTAGATATCATGTCATTTTCTGAAATACTTTTAAGTATCTTGCTTTGATAGTGTTAGAATATTTCTGATTTATCAGGTATCAGTATTTTGGGGAGCAGGAAATTTATTCCTCTCCCCTTCTTCATATCAGAAAAGAATGTAGGTTATTTTTCAGAGGACCCCTGTGCAATCAAAGCATTGAATTTTCTTTGCCTTCATGATCTCCCTTTCATGGCCTCTTTCATGTTTCCTTGCCCAGTAAGTCTTTCATATAATTAAGTAATACATTTGTAAAAAACTGATTGTTAATTTTATATACACTATGTAAGTTTGACATCTTTTAGTGAAATGTTTATGCCTTTCAGTTTATTTATTTGGAGAAAGGGTCTGGCTCTGTCACTCAGGCTAGAGTGCAGTGGTGCGATTATGGCTCGCTGTGTCCTTGAACTCCTGGGCCCAAGTCGTCATCCTCCCTCAGCCTCCCAAGTAGCTAGGAGCATAGGTATGTGCCACAATGCCTAGCTAACTTTGAATTTTTTTTTATTTTTATAAACAGGGTTTTGCTATGTTGCCCAGGCAGATCTCAAACTCCTGGCCTCAAGCTATATTCCCTCTTCAGCCTCCCAGAGTGTTGGGATTATAACCGTGAGCCACCACACCCTGCCACTTATGAGTTGTTTTATTTTTATCTTGATTGATTGGTGTTTTGGGGGGAAAAGTACTGATAGAATTCATGTTGGTGATTCATATTTTAATATTTCTGAAATTCATATTTCAAGTAGAAAATTGTTTTATGTATGAGAAAGATTACTGTGCCCTAAATGTTTTTTTTTTCTCTTAATGTATTAGGCAAAATCCTCAATGATGATACTGCTCTCAAAGAATATAAAATTGATGAGAAAAACTTTGTGGTGGTTATGGTGACCAAAGTAAGTTTCAACCTCATTCTCTGTATCTTTGTGCATGTAAGTCTTTTTAAAAATGATGATCCCAAGTCCACACAATGGACACAGTGTATACACATCCATAGTGGTGTGCACTTAACTGCTATGAAAGATTTTAAGACTTTACCTTAAGTCAATCATAAAGTTATTAATGTTTTACATTAATTATACATTAACTATAATATAGTTTTGATATAATTTTATTTAAATCAAAACAACTGAAATATAAAATGTCATGTTAAAATTATTGCTAAAGTTTTGAAATCACTTATGTAATTCTTTTAAAATATGCTTAGAAATTGAATAAATGTTTATTCTGTAGTTTTTATGTTTGCCTTAAATAGACTTGCTAAATTTTGCACTAGTCCTAACAAATTCCTCAAGACAAAAAAGTATGTAAACTAATATTACAATGCTATTTCTTAGTGAAATAATATGCTTTTAGAAACTTAGGAGAAGGTAACTAAAGAAATGATGGAATGATTTTTGTGAGGAAGAAGAGACTACTTTATGTATATAGTTAATTTAAGTTATATAATCATGCAGTATAGAATTAAGAGACAAATGGAGAAGTGGTACTCCTGGCATTCATTTTTAGGATTGGATTGACATAATCTGAGAAAGAGCAGTGTTCCTTGTAGCACTGAAAATGAGTTTAAATCACTAATTGAAACCCGTTCCTCAAAGGCCAAAAGTGGAATAAATGTGGGTTCTCAAAGTCAAAAATAGTAGTAGAAAATAGAGTTGAATAAATCTTAATTATCACATACTTTTGTACTGGGAAACAAAAAGCAGCTAAATAGTTTACATGTGTTGAACTTGAACGTTTTTTAATCTATTAAGAATATTGATTTTGCTGTACTGAGGAACTTCATTATATGTTAAGCTTTAAAAACAGAAGCAGAATTGTGAGGAAACCTTGTATCATCTAGGTCTGTGGTAAAATATACGTAACGAATTTCCAATTTAATCATTTTAAGTGTACAGTTCTATTACATAGTTACGTTGTTTTGCAACTGTCACCATCATATAAGAGGAATTCTGTGGTATTCGCCTTTTTGTGACTGGCTTATTTCACTTAGTGTAATGTTATCAAGGTTCATCTATGTTATAGCATGTGCCAGAATTTGCTTCTTTTAAGACTGAATGCTATTCTATCTAGTTTTAGCATACATAGTACATAATAGGAAATGTGAACACATTTGAACATGTTTTGTCGCTGGTCTTATCTTTTACTATTAACAGTAATCACGACTATTTAGAACACAAAAATAAGCAGAAAAAGTGTCAATAGGTACATGTATTTTAGGAGTAGATACTGGAAGCCTATTGTTATATTACATACAATTCCTAAGTTTTTCCTTTAAGTCTTTCATTCCTAACTTTACATAGGATTCTTTTTTTTTTTTTTTTTTTTTTGAGACGTAGTTTCGCTCTTGTTACCCAGGCTGGAGTGCAATGGCGCAATCTCAGCTCACCGCAACCTTCCACCTCCTGGGTTCAGGCAATTGTCTTGCCTCAGCCTCCTGAGTAGCTGGCATTACAGGCACGCGCCACCGTGCCCAGCTAATTTTTTGTATTTTTAGTAGAGACGGGGTTTCACCACGTTGACCAGGATGGCCTCAATATCTTGACCTCGTGATCCACCCGCCTCGGCCTCCCAAAGTGCTGGGATTACAGGCGTGAGCCACCGCGCCCAGCCTTACATAGGATTCTAATGATATTTATTATTATTTTATTTTGAAATCAATAGTAGAGAACAGCTATAAGAAGGGACAGAAGGCTGCTATAGTAAGGCATTATGGAATCACTGAGAAATGACCTTATTAATACAAAAAATGGAAAGAACAAGCTACTAAGATCAAAAGCAAGAATAAAAACTAAAATGCAGAGAGGGGCTTGGTACTTTTTAGAATAAAGTATGTCCTTGGCAGTAGGAATCTTGAAGGCAAGTTATATTGCAATATTATTTTGATAACAAGGAAAATATTAAATGAGTATACCATATTTTAAAATACATCTTCATGTAGATTGATTATTATAAAGTTTTGGTGCTTAAAACTCTGAACTCTGAATTTTCACCTTTATGAAGCTCCAGTTTATCCAGAATAACTGAGGATCCATAATGACTTCAGGATTTCAGCTCCTGAAGTTTTAAAACATTAATAATCTGCAGAATATTAATGTTAAGAAAGTTAAGCTACATGGGAAAAGAAAGGAGTAATGCTACTAGCATTTTTTTAAGACCTGTCTTTCACTAGTCTTTTTTTTTCCCCCTAGTGTCTTCTTTATTAGCTCAAATCAAAAAGACACAAGGCAGCTCATTGGTTTTAGAGTTTATTTATGCTTGTGGCAAATTATGTTGAATTTAAGCTCTGTCTTCCACCAAAACAGTTACCTTTTGTCCTTGGGAAAGTTATGAACTAAACAAGTAGTGAGCTTTGGTAGGCCTTAGGAGATTAAAACTTGTGTAGTATGATTTTTACAAATTTACAGTTGACCCTTGAACACCATTGAGGGTTAGGAGTGCCAGCCTCTTCTAACCCTCAGAAATCTACATGTAAGTTTTGATTTGCCAAAAACTTACCGACTGGTAGCCTAGTCTTAACCGGAAGCTTTACTGATAACATAAACATTGAATTAATACATGTTTTGTATGTTACATGTATGATATACTATATTAAAGTAAGCTAGAGAAACAAGAAAAGGATGGCCTGGTATGGTGGCCGACACCTGTAATCTCTGCAACTTGGGAGGATGAGGTGGGCAGATCACTTGAGCTTAGGAGTTGTAGGGAGACCTGGGTAAGATGGCGAAACTCTGTCTCTACCAAAAAAAAAATTAGTGGGGAGTGATAGTGTGAGCCCAGAGTCCCAGCTACCTGGTGGTGGGGGTGGGGGCAGTAGCTGAGGCAGAAGCATTAGGAGGTCGAGGCTGCATTGAGCTGTGATCACACCACTGCTCTCCAGCCTGGGTGATAGAGTGAGACCCTCTCTCAAAACAAAAAATAAAAAAGTAAAGAAAATCACAAGAGAAAATATTTTTAGCATTCACTAAGTATAAGTGGATCATCGTGAAGTTCTTCATCTTTGTCTTCACATTGAGTAGGCTGAGAAAGTGGAAGGGTTGGTCTTGCTGTCTCAAAGTGGCAGAGATGGAGGAGGTAGAAGGTGAGGCAAACACACTCAGTGTAACTTATATTGAAAATAATTATTATATAAGTGGACCCAGTGTAGTTCAAAGCCTTGTTCAGTGGTCAGCCAATTGTTTTTTACTCTGCGGGAAGCTTTATGGCTCTAATTCCAGTTCAGAAAGTGCTGAGCACATGGAGATAACTTAATTTGGCCTTTATTTTTCTGCTTAACTATACATCTGAAAATATTGTGAACCTTTTCGTACTTGGACCTGTTGGTTTGTAGTCAGTTTTGGGATTTTCCTCCCTCTTCTAAAATACAGTTCAGCAGAATATTTGACAGGTTCATAAATAAACATTTATACTGCCATTTCAAGAACATTATTTTGGGCTGGGTGTTGTAGTGGTTTATGCCTGTAATCCTAGCACTTTGGGAGGTGGTGGAGGGAGGGTTGCTTGAGGCCAGGAATTCAAGACTAGCCTCGGCAATGTAGCAAGACCCTGTCTTTAAAATTAAAAAAGAAAACTATTTTGGTAATGCTTTTAAGTGTTGTTAGATACTTTAAAGTTAAAACCCAGGTACATGAAGTTTTTTTGTAAAATGATATGGTTTCTTTCTTTTTTTTTTTGATACATACTATATATATTTCAAATTTTTGACTTTGTTTTATATTGATAGGAAGACAAATTGTTGGGTAAAATTAATTGTGGTTGATAGTTAAAATAACATATGCTCTCATGACCTTTGAAAGTAACCATGAGTCGGATTGCTCATATTGATCATTTATTGTGTCATTTTACAAAATTATTTTTAAGTTACCGGTTATTAGTGCTATTTTTGTGGCATCATATAAAGGTATAGGCTTTATCATAATTATTTTGCTTTTTAATGTGTGTAGCCCAAAGCAGTGTCAACACCAGCACCAGCTACAACTCAGCAGTCAGCTCCCGCCAGCACTACAGCAGTTACTTCCTCCACGGTAACAACTGTGGCTCAGGCTCCAACCCCTGCCCCTGCTTTGGCGCCCACTTCCACACCATCATCCGTCACTCCAGCATCAGCGACAGCATCTCCTGAACCTGCACCTGCTAGTGCAACTAAACAAGAGAAACCTGCAGAAAAGCCAGCAGAGACACCAGTGGCTAGTAGCCCAACATCAACTGACAGGTGGGAACTGTATTCTAGGAAATTCTGTCTCAGAATCTGTGTTTACAGGAACTTTCATGCATTTATTTTGATTATTGTTTTGCTAAAACTGACTATACCACGTTAAGCTTTTTTGAACATTTAACTAAAACCTATGCTGTGTCTATTTTGATTGTTTACTAAGGAGAATATAAGTACAGATTTTCATAATCCAGACTTCTGTACTCTGTTGATTTGGGCAGGGTGGGAGACAGTGGGAAGGAGAAAGCAGGTGAGAGTCATTTGTTTCAAGTAGAAACGTTAGGAAATACAAATAACCAACAAGAATAAGGATTATAATATGACATTGCCACCCTGATCATCATTTGTAGTTGATCTGTATTATGGTCATTGTCTTATATGTCATAAGCATCCTTCCATGTCAGTAAATCTTCAGTTGTTAAATAGCATTGTGTTTGGTTCTGACATTTGTTAGCTCTTGTAATCTGAACCTGTGGATTGTTTCAGTTTTTCACTGTTGTATCTGTATCTTTGTGAGCTTGAGTAGAAATTCATGCAAGCTTCTGCCTGTGTAGATCTTTAGGGGAAAAAAAGGAAAAGAGTGTTGGGATATTTGAGGAGCAAGAAGTAATTTCTTGTGAGAAGTTGATAGCAGAAACACCTCAACTAAGTTACTATTTAGACAGTTAGGATTATTGAGCAGTTTAAGACAAGATATCCCCCCCACCCCCCATCCCCCACCCCCAGGTGATCAGGTAAAATGACCAGAGCAGATGCTTAAGTCAGAGTTCTGTTGGTTGGAAATCATACAGCACAATTCCTTGACCTAAGATCATGAGTTATGTTATGGCCAGCCTTCACTGGCACTCTGCAGCTGTTTGTATTTTGTGACTTAGTGCAACTCAGGACCTCAGAGGCAGTAGTAATGATCTTTGGAGTCAGAATCAGACACGATGGAAAACTATGCAATGACTGGAAGGATTTACAGACATGGAAAGGGGTTATGATATATATGACAGTGATCAGAAATACAAGTTGTGATCCTTCATTTTAGTATTCTGCCTTTGAGTGTGGTTTCTGTGTCTGACTTAGTCAACCATGTTTGGAGGAGTCCGAGCCACCTGGTTCATTGTTCACCTGGTGGTCTCTTTCTAAGTAATTGATTCCCTGAGAAAAATCATGGGTTTAGGCAATTAAATATTTGCCCTGTTACTTGCCTAGAACACTGCTTTAAGCATTCTGTGACACCATTGCCTAACTTGATTCATCTTTCCCAGGTACAGCTATACATGCATTCAACCATCTTGTCCTAGTGGATACCTAGAGTCAGGTTAAAATATTACATCAAAGTTTGGTTGATCAGGTCTGTGTATGAGAGGGAACTTATAAATTTAACCAATTGGTTCACCAATGGCTACTAGCAATATTTGGTTCACCAAAGCACATAAATATTGTGAACTTAATATGTCAGTATAGTACATCTTATTCTCTTTATATATATATATTTTTTTTATTGCATCTTATTCTCTTAATTGTTTTAAGTTCCTTTTTAAAAAAAGCTTACAGTGTGAGAATTTTAAAGTTGAATACATTTTAATGTGCAAATGACATCAATGTAAATTTGTTTGTTCGTTATCTCTACTTTTATTTTCTTCCTGGAGTTGCAGTTTTACTTACCTGTTCTAAAAACACCCAGGATTATCTTTTCAGACCTACAGAAGTTGCATGAGTAAGTTGATGGTCAGCGATCCAGGAAAGCAGACACTGCAGTTACTTACTTAGTTGGACTTTACACCAACTGTTTATTCTTATTTCTCAAAATTTTTCTTCAGAGAAAGATAACGCAGGGAGAGAGAAATGAGAGAAACTCAGAAAACAAGCTGCTTAAATGTTCCTTTATCCTTGCTGGAAAATATCTGGTATCCTGTGGAGCATAAAACCTAGTGAATAATTATCAGGAGAAAAGCTGATAGGAGTTTGCGGAGTATCAGGAAGTCTGTTTATGGCCATTGACTGGACATTTTGTTATTGCGGATTTGTTTCTTTAGGTCAATTTTGTTCTTTTAAAAACTATTACAGTGCAAATTCCACTTGATATCTACCTGAGAGAACCTGCACGTGTGCACATGACTGTATTGTTTGTAGTGAAGGACAAATTGGAATCCTAAATTGACCTGTGGTTTATTTGTAGTGGAGAACAGGACTCTCAAAGTGTAGAAGTCAATAGGCCACAGCAGCATCACTGAAAGTGTGTTTGACATGAATTCTCGGACCACTCTGGACTTTTAAATCAGGATTATCTAGGAGTGGATTCCAGAAATCAACAAGCCCTCCTGGTGAATTCTTGGGATTCTTGGACTTTGTAAAATTTGAGAAGCCTTACTACCTGATACTGCAAGGTAGTTAAAATATGTACTGTATAAGCATATTAAATAAGTGTGTTTTTGAGGCTTTGTTATTGAGTGAAGAGAAAAAAGCAGGTTGCAAAGGAGTATAGGCAATAACCATAAACCAGACAAAACCTATAAACAATACTGTACATTTTCTGTAGGTATACATGTTAATGTGTAGAAAAAAAGTAGGCGGGGGTTGACACATAACTGATGAGTGGTTTCCTCTGTGTCTGGAGATGGGAGAAGCAGTGAGACAGAATTAAGATTAAAGAATAGTGGTTAAAGTATATGTACACGCAGTCTTATCTGTGGTGTTTAAAGAGAGCTTTTTAAAAACAATGTGTGATAATAGTGTAGAATATTCTGAGGGAGATGAGTCTTAATGGATTTTAAAATGTATTACACAGTAATGATTAAAACAGCTTAGAATGGCTCATATTAGAAATATTGTTCAGGGAAATCAACAGTAGCTTGGAAATAGACCCAAAAAGATACAGGAACTTAATATAAAATAAAGATACAATTTCAGAACAATGTTGGGAAAATGCTGAGATCTCACCATCTGGAATGAAATAAAGAATCACTCCTCGTACTATACACTTGCAAAAATAAATTATAGATGGATATGAATTTAATGTAAAAGCAAAGCTTTAAACTTAATGGAGAACAAGGGAAAAAAAGAATAATCTTTACTTTGAGAAGTTATTCCTAAGCAAGACAACCAAAAAAAAATTGTAACAGGAAAGTCTGATAAATTTGATTATAGAAAGAATTTCAGTGTAGGAAACCAGACTACATGTGCCTTGATAAGAGCTTGATTTGATCTTTTAAATGAAATACTGTGCATCTGTGGGAAGAAATTGAAGTAGATTTGATTGTGCAGACACGAATAATTGTTAAGTTAAAAAAAAAGAGCTAAAAAAAAAACAAGACACAGGTTGTTATTCTTTTAAATAGAAACTGGTGTCATAGTTGTCTCTGGTTTAGGGTTAGAAAAACTTAGTTTTTATATAGTGTGCTTTTTGAAATTTTATTTTATTCATATTAGTTTTACTGTACATTTAATGAAGAACTCAAAAATTATACCAAAGTATTGATCATAATATTCCTATTGAGTGTTGCGATGCCAAGCACTTTGCTAAGCACCGTGCTAGCATAGCCCTACCCACAACACTTTGGAGTACATGATGCTATCGTTGACATTGTACTGATGAAGAAACTGAGGCTTAGAAAGGTTAAGTAATTTATGAATCCAAACTTGGATTTTCTACCCTTACTATTAGTACCAAGGGCTTTCTCAGAATTGAAATATAATGTGTGTGTTCTTTTTAACTGAGACACAGGTCTAAGTGTGTATTTTAACTTAAACTTCTAACTACTACCTTTACCACTGTTGTAAACTTCAGTTTATTTTTCTTTGGCCTGTTTTTCATGGTCTTTCATAATTTCTGTCTTCTCTTGCAGACTTCTCTGTAGTTCCCCAAGAGAAATGTAATCTTTTTGAACTGGTTTCTGTTAGATTTAAACTTGGATTTTTTAGCCCATATCTACCATTTTTGCATATGCTATGTATTTCCTTATTTGAATGCCGTCTTTCAGTTTCCTCATTTAGAACTTAACGTATAAGACCTCATTATTTGAAAACTTCTAGCCTAATTTATTTTCTCCATGTGCTGTTTTATTATATACTGCTTTTGATATTTCTTCTGGTGTAAGATAATTTATAAATTATTTAACTTCTCATGTAAATTATTTCAGGTAAATAATTGTGCATTATCTTTTTTGTATTCAATAGATAGCTATCTGTTAGGATATTATTTTATATCTTTGGATATTTTAAATGATGGATTCTCAGAATAGAAGGAGTACCAAGATTGAAAATTTTTCCCAAACCACAAATGTTGTTGATAAAGCTTTTGGGTTTAATCTAGAAGGGACAGTTTAAGTACTATAGTCAGACTTTTATATTTAATTAAAATCAAAGAATCTCTTTCAAAATTGGATAGTTACTAAACTCATGTAAATTAAATTTTATATACTTTTTTAAATGTGATTTTTCTAAAATCCTTTTATAGTACATCAGGAGACTCTTCTCGGTCAAACCTTTTTGAAGATGCAACAAGTGCACTTGGTAAGTATCTACTTTTCCTTATAAACCTATGAAGAGATCAGAGGTTTCACTTTTCTAGAGCATGATAAAGTAAGTGTTAATAATTTTTATGGTTATTTATAATCAAGCTGAAAAATTATTGATTTAGGTAATTAATAATGTTACTAAAGACTTAATATGTATTGAGTTCTTTAAAACTTGTTCTGAGTTGAGCATACTACATTAAAGCAAATAAATTTCTATTTTCCGGATGTCAATTTTAGATGTGATCCTAACATAGTTTCTGTGTATGAGTTTATTACAAAGGGTCTTTTTCTAGATCTGCCTCACATTTCATGTGTATTCACCTTCAGACTTGATTCCAACTTAATGGCACTATACATTCCCATCTACATCTTGTTGCTTGCATTGGCTTGTGGCAAAAATGCCTTTTTATCCCTACTTTTAGTTTTACCTGCTGAATAATGCCTTTCCATGTCCCATCATCCCAATCTGTTAAAATGAAGCAGCTTTTTTTTTTTTCCTGTTGTGGCATCTCTGATACAGTTCTTGCTAACAACCGTTTATTGGCTCACAACTTCATTCCTACTCTTTGGTACTCTTAAATGGCAGGGAAGGAGAAAGCGAGAAATAGGTAGAAACAGAAGCTTTGATTGCAGTACAGGCTTCTGGATTCCTGCTTAGCTTCTATAGTAGCAGGGTTCCAGCAACAGTAGTGCCTCTGACCTAATTGGGCTGCAACTCCGGGATGCCCTCATTGCTGTGGAAAACGGTACATACACGTAGTGGCAAAACAGTAGTTTAATCAATCTAAGATCGCCTAGGTGTGCCAACCCCAGATTTTCATCTTTGAGGAACAGTGTCTTAGAACTACTCTGCCAGCAAATACTGTATGAGTTAGTCCCCAGCCAGGAAAACAGAAATGACTCTATTTCAAACAGGGAAAGGATTAATCTTAGGAAATGGTTAGGAGTTGGAAAGGCTGGAGAATAGGATTACCCAGAGATCAGTAAACTGTCTGTGGCCTCTGGGCTGGAGCCAGCTGGCACTTGCCCCTGATGGTGCTGTAGGCTCTGGCTGTGGTCACTGTTACTGCAGCTGGAATGCATTGATGCTCCTGAGTGGGAGCCTGGGAGGCCATGGCTATAGCTGTTGTTGCTATACTTAAGCCACTGTGACGATGTCTTCCCATTCTCAACTTAATGGTCTCGGGATCCCTCTACGTTTTCATTTTTAATTTACCCGAGTCTCTACGTTGATTCCCTGCTTATCTTATTTTTTTCTGATTTCTTGCTGCACAAATTAACCCTGCTTCTGTAAACTTTTCTTCTTTGCCTTCTGTGACACCACTCTTTTCCTGATGCATAGGTCAGGCTCTTCCTTCTCAGGCTTTCTAGTTAATTCATTTTATTTTACCTGACCATTAAGTGTATGAGTTTTCTATGATTCCATTCTAGGCCATAGTTCAAAGTTTAAACTGTGGGAATGGCCAATACTATCCGTATACTATATGGATTTCCCAAAGTATAGCAGTACAGATCTCCCTCTGAACTCCCACACTCGTGTCTTAACATTGTCAACTGGAAAACTTAGAAACTCCATGACCTTAGATTCCAAACTGACTCATTTTTTATTTCCCCATCTGATTCTTTTCTTTTGTTCCCTTCTTACTTGCACCACCATTCATTCATTCACCTCTGCCTCTTTTGGCCCTGTGAATCTGTTTCTTCCATCCCCCTCCCAACCCCCATATGCTTATATTATTTTGGTCTACCTCTTTCTTACCAGATTGGATTTTCTGCAAGGTGAATCTAATGGGGTCTTTGTTAATTCCTTTAATAGGTCCTCGTGACCTAGAAGATAAGTCCAAAGCTTATTATTTTTAATTTTTAAATTTTATATATATTTAGGAGTACAAGTATGGATTTCTTGCATGCATATATTATGTAGTGGTGAAGTTTGGGCTTTTGGTGTAGCCATCACCTGAATAATGAAGTGTATCAAACAGGTAATTTTTGACCCACACTCCACTTACCTTTTGGAGTTTCCAGTGTCTGTTATTCCACTCTACATGATGTGTGCCTATTCTTCAGCTCCCACTTGTAAGTGAGGGCATGTGGTATTTGACTGCTCTGAGTTACTTCATTTAGGATAGTGGCCTCCACAGCTCTATCCATGTTGCTGAAAAAAAAGACATTTATTTTTTTATGGCTGAGTACTATTACACACACACATACTCTCCACATTTTATCCCCTCCTCTGTTGATGATTCCATATCTTTATTATTGTGAATAATGCTGTGATAAACATACAAGTACAGGTGTCTTTTTGATAAAATGATTTAGTTCCCTTTGGGTGTATATACATGGTAGTAGGATTTCTGGACTAAATGATAATTCTGTTTTTAAGTTGTTGGAGAAATCTCCATACTGTTTTCCTTGAAGGATATACTAATTGACATTCCCACCAGCAGTGTATAAGCGTTGTTTTCTCCTCATCCTTGCCAACATCTGTTTTTTGACTTTTTAATAATAGCCATTCTTACTGTTAGAAGATGGGGCATCTCATGGTTTTAATTTGCGTTTCTCTGAGGATTAGTGATGTTGAGCATTTTTTCATGTTTGTTGGCCACTTGTATGTCTTCTTTTGAAAAATGTCCATGCTTTTTGCCCACTTTTTAATGGGGCTATTTGTTTTTTTCTTGATGTTTAAGTTCTTGTAGATTCTGGATAATAGCACTTTGTTAGATGGCCTAAGCCAATGTCCAGAAGAGTTTTTCTAGGTTTTTTGCAGTTTCAGGTCTTACTATTTAGGCTTTAATCTGTTTTGAGTTAACTTTTGTGTTTGGTAAGAGGTCTGGATCTAGTTTCATTCTTCTAAATATGGCTGTCCAGTTTCCCAGCACCATTTGTTGAGTAGGGTGTCCTTTCCCTGGTGTATGTTTTTGTTGACTTTGTTGAAGATCAGTTTGGTTGTAGGTGTATGCAGCTTTATTTCTGGGCTCTCTGTTCTGTTCCACTGATTTATGTGTCTGTTTTTATTAGAAGTACCGTGCTGTTTTGGTTATAATAGCCTGGTAATATAATTTGAATCAGGTAATATGTTCAAAGCTTATTCTGAATAACATATATAAGGTTCTTCATCGCCACATCTTTTGCCTCATTAACTCTATTTCTTGTCCAGTCTCTCTAGTTTTTTTTGTTTGTTTGTTTTTTTGTTTTTGTTTTGAGATGGAGTCTCACTCTGTCACCCAGGCTGGAGTGCAGTGGTACAATCTTGGCTCACTGCAACTTCAGCCTCCTGAGTTAAACTAGGATTACAGGTGCCCACTACCACACCCAGCTAATTTTTGTATATTTAGTAGAAATGAGGTTTTACCATGTTGGCCAGGCTGTCTCGAACTCCTGTTCTTAGATGATCCGCCTGCCTTGGCCTCCCAGAGTGCTCAGATTACAGGCATGAGCCCTGTACCCAGTGTCTCTAGTTCTTTTTACAGTCAATTGTCTTCAGAATTTTAAGATCTAAAACATACCAAGCTGCTTATGGATATTTTTGAGATTTTATAATTTAACTCAGAAACATTATTTTAGGAGTCATAGTGTACTGATTAGGTGTAGAGGCTCTCGGTCTGTGTTTGTATCTCTGCACCATGAATTAATATATTATTTTACCAAATTATTAATCTCTCCAAGCTGCAGCCTCGTATTTTAAAGGAGTTGAAATTAAACTTTTTTTATGAAGTAGTGAGAGAGAACTAAATGAGGAACATCATGTCAAAATAGTGCAGTTCTTATTTTCTGTAGCTCTTAATTTTGTTTGTATTGATACTGATTTCTGTATCTGGAAACTAGGTTACTGAAAGTATATTGCTTCTAGAGTTGCTTTGTGCTCGAACTATATCAATAGATATGAAAATAAAAAATATTAAAAACTATTTTATGGTATGGGAAAGGAAAGTTATTATTATTTTAAGCAATGTATCAAATCCTTAATCTGTTCATGGTACTTGGGGGTTTTTTAGCTATTAAACACCTTTATTTTTGAAAATTCTGCAGAAAAAAATATTCAACGGATAATGTGTGTCTGCTGTGTATCAGCGAAACATGCAGAATGACATGGTTTCCTATACGGTCAAATCTTGATTTAGTTGATGCAAGAAAAAAAGAAACAGTAAAAAAAAAAAAGATAAATGATATTAAAAGCATAAGGGGCTTCCCCAAAGAAAAAACAGAAGGCTATGTCGGATGGCTAGGCAATACCTTTTAAATATAGAACTGAAACATGTTGAATGAACTGGCCATCCCAGACTGCCGGTGTTGTGTAAAGGCCCTGGGGCAGGAAAAGGTGTGGCCTGGTGAAATGACCCCAGGAAGATGACTATGGTGGATGGAGGATTGATGAGGGCTTGGGAGTCAGAAATGAGATGAGGGGACTTTTTGTGTGTGTGTGTTTTCATTGACTTTTACACTGGCTGAAGAATAGATTGTAGATACAGAGGCAAGAGTTGGAAACAGGGTGTAATCCCATCCAGAGACTGATGTGGGCCTGTTGTCTTCAGTGATGACAGTAGAGAATGAAGAGATGGGTTTGGGGTGTAATTTAGAGATAGAACCTACCAGGTGTGCTGGTAAATCAGATGTGGAAGGAAGAGGAAAAGGAACTCTGAAATCACCAGGGTTTCTGTTCAAGCACTTAAGTGAATAGAGGTGCCTTTTGTTTAAAGAGAGCAGAGAAATAATGGCGGAACACATCTGAGAGGGAAATTGGAATTGCAATGAGGAATGAAAAGGGACACATGTTCATAGCTATGGCTGTGATGGGAAGACAGCAGATGATTCCTGAAAGAGGAATTAGGATGAAGTCAAAGGAGGGAGGTGTGGTTTTTTTTTTGTTTTACGGTGAAATCTAGGACGTAGTTAACTACTGACCCAGGGTAATCACATAGAGCGGGGAAGGTATTGGTGGAGAAGAGAGAGGATAACCAAATTCAGTTTTGTGAAGTGACAGTAAAGGTAATGGTCCCTAGAAAGCAAGTGGAAGAAAGGATAGTTTTAAGTGAGGTAAGTTTATGAGAGAAACAACTTTGATTTATTCAGCGTGTTTGTGCTGAGAGGATGATAGGAGTCTGTAAGAAGTGACTTGTTGGAATAGTAGCATTTAGGGCATTTTGCCAGCTTCTGTATAGTGTATAGGATTTTAACATTCTAGCTCCTAACCACTCTTTCCCCACTGTTTTGGTTATATAAGGTGTCAAAGGGAAACAACTTGTCGCATCAGAGTTGATTGTTGAAATGCTGTCCCTTCACCAGCCTGTTTTCAGAAATCAGTGTCTCTTCTTACCAGTTGCCTTCACTGATCTGCTAATTCTCCCTTACCTTTGTACCTCATTTTCTATTGTACTATGAAACATATTATATATATGAGTCTCCTGTTGCTACTGTAGTAAGTTACCACAAACTTAGTGGTGTGAAACAACACAGATTAACTGTCTTCTAGTACTGTAGAAGTCTGATACAGGGCTCACTGTGCTAAAATCAGGGTCAGCATTCCTTTCTGGAGACTCTAGGGAGGAATTTTTTTCCTGATCCGGTCCAGCTTCTAGAGACTGTTCACATACCTTGGCTTGTGGCTACTTTCTTCATCTTCAAAGGCAACAGCATAGCAGAGACTGGACTTTTCTCCATTCTCATCCTGCTTTTGTCTTCTCCTCACACCTGTTTCTCTGACCCTCTCTTCTGCCACCTTCTACTACTCTTAAGGATTCTTGACATTATGTTGGACCCACCTGGATAATCCAGAATGAGGTCTCTATCTTAAAGTCAGCTGATAAGCAACCTTAATTTTATCTATAACCTCAATTCCTTTTGCCATGTAACTAACTTACAGGTTCCAGTGATCAAACCAGGGGCATCTTTGGGGAACCATTACCTAATAAATATATGTTGTAATTTATACTGTTACTCATCTTTGTATTCCTAGCACAGCAGTGCCTGAAATGTTGTATACATGAATCAAGAAATGTATAGAGAATGCTTATTTATTAAATGTTCCTTTTCTTTCTTGTCTACCCTCCCTTTTTAGTGACGGGTCAGTCTTATGAGAATATGGTCACTGAGATCATGTCAATGGGCTATGAACGAGAGCAAGTAATTGCAGCCCTGAGAGCCAGTTTCAACAACCCTGACAGAGCAGTGGAGTATCTTTTAATGGTAAGAAACATGTTTGACTTTTCTCCATTCTAGTTGTTTAAGATCAAAGTCAAAGAAACAGATTTTAAAGGACCAGTTAACCAATCACTGATAGATGATATGCATTATAGTTTTATTTTTCCTATTGTGTTAGTATTTTGTGTTAATAAAATGCAACCTTTTCTAAAAGATTCTGATTGGGTTTTAGTTAGAAACAACATGGCTAAATGAGTTGTAAGACTGGCTGTCCAGTTGGGGTATAGCACCTTGTACCCCAGTTAATGTCATCCTCAAAGGATGTGTTGGGGGTAAGGGGCAAATTTTTAATCTAGTGGTCCAACATTGTAGTAGCTTTTTAGGTACCACAATGCATGAATTATTCAGAGCAGAAATTTCAAGCTTGAAAGCCCAGGCCAAATTCTTTTGCTCATACTGTGTATATTTCTGTGATAAATTGCCAACTTTTTAAAAACTGGGAAATTTCACATAGAAGTACAGATTTCTGATTTATCTGGACAACTTTGATTTCAGATTTTTGCAAGAGATTTAGGAAAATATTTTAGATTGTGGACTCTAATTCATTATCCTCTGATTCACTCTGTTACCAATATAATATCATGCATTTAATGAATGATGTTACTTACCTGGTTCCATTGGCATTTGAATTTGTTTTTATAGTCAGGAGTTGAGGGACTTTTTGAATAAGGTCATCTTTTTTTTACTGGTAATGAAAGTTTTTGAGAAATAGAGTATTGTGGACATTGACTGAAACCCTTGGTATGAAGATGAAAGTCTGCTATTTTTACAGATGTAACACAGGCTAAAGTGATTGAAATAACTTTTTTTTTTTTTTTTTTTTTTTTTAAGATGGAGTCTCACTCCGTCACCCAGGCTGGAGTGCAGTGGCGTGATCTCAGCTCACTGCAACCTCCACTTCCTGGGTTTAAACAATTCTCCTGCCTCAGCCTCCCAAGTAGCTGGGACCACGTGCCACCACGCCGGCTAATTTTTTTTATTTTTAGTAGAGACAGGGTTTCACCATGTTAACCAGAATACTTTCGATCTCCTGACCTTGTGATCTGCCCACCTCAGCCTCCCAAAGTGCTGGGATTACAGGCGTGAGCTGCTGTGCCCGGCCTGAATTAACTTTTTAAAAATCTTAGATTTTTATCTTATAATTGTTTTTGGTGTTTTGGAGTATTTTTTCTAAGTCTGAATTGCCCAAATATCATCTTAGAGTTGCATGAGTCTAACTCTTTTGGGAATTATGTCCACAGTTTAACGCATTCCTTTGTGTCTAGTTTATACTTCTGTTAGGAACTCCTTTCAGGTAGCTAGCTAGTTTCAGAAGAGTCCAATATAAGCCTCATAACTGTACTCTGCCTCCACCATTTATTGCCCATGCATTTGCTTGTGAAGTTCTCAAAACGGTTTCCTAGCATATTATTTTATCTTTTTCAATTCACTTTTTCATTGTCGTCTTGAGTAGTGTCTTTAAATGGTGGCAGTTTATCCAGTTTGTGTAGAATTAATAATTGTTGTGAATTTATTTGGCGAGGAGTACATAGCCTAAACAGATTGTATAAAAGTATTAGTTTTTTGGAGTGGCTTTCATTTACATCTGATTTTTAGAATTCTGCATAAGTTCAACAGTATCAGTTATTTTGATCTAATGGACATGGAGTTTTGAGGTATAAAATAAAGAAATCAATGTCACCAAAGTTGCCAAATGCTAAAACTGCTGTATAGCATCAAATGCAAATAAACAGATGAGACATGAGTTCATCAAACAATTTATAACAAATATTTTTTATATATTTGCTGTTTGTTTCATAGACGGGGGTGGGGAGCTGCCTTTAACTGTTAATAGTTAACAGGTAAATTGAATGGATGGAAGGAAGAAATGTTGATCCCTTATCTAATAAGAGGCGTTGTAATGTGTGAGAATAGAGGTAGATATATAGCAATGAAGATTAACTTTTTAGTTTAATAAATTAAACAGAATGTGATGGATGCTCTGGACCCTAAATTTATGTGTAGTTTGTTGCCACTTAAATAACTGCCCATTGAAGTTAAGGGTTTGAATTGGTGAACTCACTCAGAAACATTTGTTTTGATGCCTGGAGTGGCATCTAATGCATGCAGCCATATTCCTGCTCTTCCTCCTTTATATGTTGTTGCTTTTGGCTTCTGGCTTATTAGGAAATGGAAGCATTTATCATCTTACTCAATTTTAATACTTAGTTCTCCTCTTTTCAGAATCTATAAGAACGTGATAAAGACTTTTTAAAAATTTTAAATGACAAGTCTGTCAAATCATGTGCATCAAAATAGGGTGTCCTAAAAGATTTTAGTGCATGCAGTTTTAAGCTCCAACAACTTTAGAAGATAAATACTACACACTTGCAGGAGGATCTCCTCTACTGATCCATGGTACTGACAAACTGTCACTCAGAAGGTATATCATAAATTTGAGATACTTTTGAGTAAAGTGTTTCTTTGAGAAAGTGTCACTCAGAAAGTAACTGATAAAAAATTAATTTTTCGGCCGGGTGCAGTGGCTCACGCCTGTAATCCCAGCACTTTGGGAGGCCGAGGCGGGTGGATCACAAGGTCAAGAGATAGAGACCATCCTGGTCAACATGGTGAAACACCGTCTCTACTAAAGACACAAAAAATTAGCTGGGCATGGTGGCGCGTGCCTGTAATCCCAGCTACTCAGGAGGCTGAGGCAGGAGAATTGCCTGAACCCAGGAGGCAGAGGTTGCGGTGAGCTGAGATCGCGCCATTGCACTCCAGCCTGGGTAACGAGCGAAACTCCGTCTCAAAAAAAAAAATAATAATTAATTTTTCAAAAACCACAAAATTGATTTAAAATAAATTGAAACCATTTAGTTTTCAGAGGTGAAAAATATTTTTTCCCCAGGAGTCATTTTAGAACTGTCAAGACGCCCATCAAAACTTCTTTGTTTGGATTATCTTAAGCTAAGATTGTACACTCAATCCTTTTCATCACTAACAGCTGATGAAGATTTCTAAGAAGTTAAAAAGTCAACTGAAGTAATAATAAGTAGCACTAAAACCTTTGGTTATGTTCTGTTTTAAGAAGGTACATGTATAGATAGTTTTCGAACTAGAATAATTATCTGTGCCTGGTAGGCATCTAATTGGACAACAGAGACTATTTTTCCATCATCATGGAAAGTTCTGTTGGTCAGTACTGCTTTGCATTATTATAGCAATGTGGGTTTTTCTATAATGCAGCCAGGTCGTTTCTAATCTAATTTGAATCCATACAGGTTAATAATCCTTTACTTTTAATTGAAGCAGGCATCTGTTTGATGCTTTTGAAAATCAGATAACATGTTAAATAGACTATAAATCTTTTACTCTATATAATATTGAATTTTGCATGATGGGATATCTTAAAGCTTGGAAATTTTGTTTTAGGGAATCCCTGGAGATAGAGAAAATCAGGCTGTGGTTGACCCCCCTCAAGCAGCTAGTACTGGGGCGCCTCAGTCTTCAGCAGTGGCTGCAGCTGCAGCGACTACAACAGCAACGACTACAACAACAAGTTCTGGAGGTAAATTGGAATCTTTGGATGGAGAGGGAATGACCCTGAATTATTAGTGTAAGATAATTTAATCTGAAATGCTTCAGAAATGAGGTTCATTCCCAGAGCAGTTGTGTAACTAATGTTTGAGAAAGGCCCAAAAGAAACTCTCCCAAGTGGATATAAAAGGTATCCTTGCTGATATTAAACATCAGTGCTGCAATTTTGTCAAAGGGCATATTGTTGTATTTGTTCTAAGGAAGAGATGCTTTCCAGTTTGTATGTCTAATGGCATTCAGAAGGGTTTGCTCACTTTGTCTCTTACTCTCTCCGTAAATGTTACAAAGTGTATGTGATTTCAAAGCCAGCAGGATTTTAGCAGTTATACAGCCAAGGAAATGAAACCTTGAGAGGTTTAAAACCTTGTGTCTGGGAGGAGAAAGCAAAGCTAACATTCAAGTCAAATGTTAATAACCAAAGTCTTCCTTACTCGGGTACTGGCCATACCCACACATTGCTATGGGTCTGACTGTAGAGCAAAGCCTGGAGCCTGCTTAGTAATTATGTAGTGTTCTCCTTCATTTGTTCTTGTGTATATTAATAAAGTAAGCTGTTGATTTTGGAAAAAGCCATTCTTTCATCCATTTCTTAGCTCTGATTATGATAGTCACCTCTGGATGGCAAAAGTCACTAAGTGCTTTGTGTAGTCTCCAGAGGACAGGCCTGTTTGTTGAGATTCAGCATGGTAGTGGAAAGAGATGGCCACAGCTTTGCTTTGGATTTGGGGTCCTATTCCTTTCAGCACTTATTAGGTAACATAGTCTGTAAATCTCATTACCTTCCTCTATAAAGCTAGTATTATATAAGGAAGAACAAAAAACCCATATGATGTGACTATTTTAATTTGAATGATTGTCTTCCTGAATAGGAAATTACAACATACATCTAAAAATTCTCTTTTATTCATTAGTAACCTCAAAAACATACTTTCTTTATGTATAATTTTTGGTTTCCTGTAACAACCAGATAAGTACTGGCACCTTGAAAAAGCCACAAGTTCTGTATTTTATTTTATTTCTTATTTGGCATTATTAACATTTACTATTGTGAATGGATTTTAGACTGAAAAGCTCTAGATATATTAGTACTAGATTACCATACGGCTTATGTTTGAAATTTAATGGTAATAACCAAAGTCTTCCTTAATGTAACTAAGTTTGTATTAAGATTTCTCCTGCTTTGCAAACCTGACCTCAAACTTTAAATATTAAATATCTTTCTCTTCTTTGGTTTAGCATTTCCTAGGAATTCAAGCTCAGATTGTGTTCTTTAAGGGGTTTTGATTGTTTATAAAGTAAGTGAGTTTTTGTTTTTGTTAGTTGTGGCATATATTTTTCTTAAGAACTTTTAAGCAACGGGACCAACTTTTAGTACTTTTCATTTTGATAGAACATGTGCAGGGGGCAAGTTCCTAGTATTATTTTATAATATCGAGTGCCAAGGCCAATTTTAGGAAAGTTTGTTACTGTCAGTGTTCTGCACTCACTTTGCTAATAGGAGTAATTTTTGCTGTACAAGTGCAAGTTGGTACAATTTGAAGATTTCGTTTCCTTCGTTTTATTACATCTGAGAACTCAGATAATTGTTTACTTGATAGTGTTTGCTGTCTTAATGTGTTGTTTAACCACTCTTTGTATGTGTATTTACGACTTTTGTTTAATAATGTTTATGTGTATTTTAGGACATCCCCTTGAATTTTTACGGAATCAGCCTCAGTTTCAACAGATGAGACAAATTATTCAACAGAATCCTTCCCTGCTCCCAGCGTTACTGCAGCAGATAGGTCGAGAGAATCCTCAATTACTTCAGGTGACTAATCAGTGTCAGTTTCACAAGTGGGTTAGAGTGTATCACATTTTTTAAACGTTTGTGAACATCCTTCCCCCTCCCCACCAACTCTGTATTTGAGAATGGTGAATGTGTTATCCCAAGCTACACTCAGTACAATATTGTAATCTAGGCAGGTGTACTAAAAAAAAAACAGTTGGGATATGGAGGTTGGGTTAATTTAATTTGACCAAATAATAAGTTTGGGAAACATTTTATATTTCCCAGTACATATTAACATGTTAAAGAATTTGGGAAGCTGTTTAACAAAGACACTGCCTAACTTTAAATCACTTTTCACAAGCTTATTACTTAGTTCGTTTTTCTTAGGAACTTTTAAGCAACAGGAATACTTACTCTTAAAAAAAACAGCTTTGAGACTTCTTTGATGCTCAGATCACCAAGTATTTAAATTTTGTACAGCATTTTAGTGCACACTAGTGTGAAAGATAAAAATATATGCAAGTATAAAGAATAAGTTCTATAATTCTACATTAGTTTTGTTTTGTTGATTTTTTTTAAGTGCAGGGGGCTCAGAATACTTAGGAATTTGAATTTCTCCACCGTTTACCCTAAAGTAGTGAATTTCTTTACTAATGTACAAGAAATCACATCCTTCCAAAAACTGAATAATTCAGAATCACTAAAACATTATGTTTGTAAAAGTATAGCTTTTTCTCTAAGTAATATTTAGAATTCCTCTTCCTGCAGATACTTAATGTATTGTTTTTCTCTGTCCTTCACATCACCACAGCAAATTAGCCAACACCAGGAGCATTTTATTCAGATGTTAAATGAACCAGTTCAAGAAGCTGGCGGTCAAGGAGGAGGAGGTGGAGGTGGCAGTGGAGGAATTGCAGAAGCTGGAAGTGGTCATATGAACTATATTCAAGTAACGCCTCAGGAAAAAGAAGCTATAGAAAGGGTGAGTTTACGTAAAACTTTATAACATTGGTTCTTGGCAGGGCACGGTGGCTCCCGCCTGTAATCTCAGCACATCTGGAGACCACGGTGGGCGGATCACCTGAGGTCAGGAGTTCAAGACCAGCTTGGCCAATATGGCAAAACCCCATCTCTAATAAAAATACAAAAATTAGTTGGGCATGGTGGCATGCACCTGTAGTCTCAGCTGCTTGGAAGGCTGAGGCAGGAGAATTGCTTGAACCTAGGAGGCAGAGATTGCAGTGAGCCAAGATTGCACCACTGCTGAGTGAGACTCTGTCTCAAAAAAAAAAAAAAAAATTAGTTCCTTAGTCACACTAGCCCTATTTCAAATGCTCAGAAGTCACATGGGGTTAGTGTCTGCTATTGGATAGAACTGATATAGAACTTTTCCATTCGCTGGAGATAGTTCTAATGGACAGAGCCAAATCGAGCATTGCCTTACAGATAGATTGCAGTAAAGATTGTCTCTTCTTATCCCTGTTCCCTCTTCTTGTCTTTTGTGAAGCCAAAGGGCAAGCAGTAAAGGTATAATTTCACTGATGTGTTAAAATTCAAGAAGAAAAAGTCCTATACACCCACTTCTAGATTTTTCATTTTTACTTATATTTTTATTTACATTAAACATTAGAACTCTGCTCTCCTGATTCCAGTAACCTAACTTTTATTATGTCATGATTAGTCATTCTTTTTCTCCTTCATTTTTACTATAACAGGGAATCATAGGAATTGTAGTACTTGCCCTTCCTTATATTACAAAGTGTTTTGACATGGAAATCAGATAAAGTACATTTTAACTTAGAAAGTCACTGTGGTTTTCTATTACGTTTTGAAATTAGAAAGTGTTAGTTACTCCAATTTTATTGTTTCCCAAGGTATGTTTTGGCTGTTCTGGATCCTTTGTGTTCCTTGCATGAATTTTAACATCAGCTTGTCTGATTCCCGTAAAAGAAAAAAAAAAAAAGCTGCTTGGGATCTTGATAGGGATTGTTTTATTCTGTAGATGAATTTGGGGAGTATTTCCAGATTAATAATAAGGTCTTTCTATAATTTCTTTCCGTAGTGTTCTATAGTTTTCAGTGTAAAAGTTGTGCAATACCGTTAAATGTATTCCTAAGAATTGTTATTCTTTTTGATGCTGTTATAAATGGAATTTTTCTCTTAATTTCGTTTTCAGATTATTCATTGCTAGTTATATAAAAATATAATTTTGTATATTGATCTTTTGTCTTTAAAATCTTCTTGAACTCTTATTTATTCATTAAGTAGTTTGTGTCTGTGTTCATTAGGATTTTCCATATACAAGATCATGTCATCTGCAAATAGAGACAGTTTTACTTCTTTTCCAATATGTATAGCTTTTATTTCTTTTTCTTGTCTAATTGCCCTATCTAGAGAATCCAGTATATTATTAGACTAGCAAGAGCCAATATCCTTGTCTGGTTCTTGATCTTAGGGGAAAGCATTCAGTCTTTCGTCACTAAGTGTGATGTTATCTGTGGGTTTTTTGTGGATGCCCTTTATCAGGTTGAAGAAAGTCTCTTCTGTTCCTAGTTTGTTCAGTGTGTTCATCAAAACAGGTGTTCATCACAACACCTGTTCAGTCCAACAGGTGTTGGATTTTGTCAGATATTTTTACTAAAATGATCATGTGGTTTTTGTCCTTTAATATGCTTTATTACATTGATTGGTTTTTGTATATTGAACCAACCTTGCATTTCTAGGATAAATTTTAGTGGTCACAATGCGTAATCCTTTTTATATGTTGCTGGAATTAGCCTGCTAATATTTTGTTGAGGATTTTTACATCTGTTCATAAGTAATATTGGTCTGTAGTTTTTTTGTGATGTCTTTGTCTGATTTTGGTATCTGGGTAATACTGGCCTCCTACAGTGAGTTGGGAATTATTCTCTTCTGTTATCTGGAAGTATTTATTAAGAATTGGTGTTAATTATTTGAACAGTTGATAGAATTCATCAGAAGTCTGAGCATGGGCTTTGCTTTTTGGGAAGTTTTGTGATTATTGATTCAGTCATTTGTTACTGGTCTGTTCCATTTTTCTATGTCTTTTAGAGTCAATTTTGGTGGTTTTGTCTTGGAATTTGTCTATTTTATCTGAGTTATCCAATTTGTTGGCATACAATTGTATGTATTTCCTTATAATCATTTTATTCTTTTGATAAAGCAGTAATGTCCCTGCATTTATTCCTGATTTTAGTAATTTGAGTCCTAAGATTTTTGTTTTTTTCCCAGTTTAACTAAAGGTTTTTCAATTTCGTTGATTTTTTTTTTTAAATAATAAAAATAACTTTTGGTTTTGTTGTTTAGGTCTCTCCAATTTTTATTTTTTCTCTTGTTCTTCCTTTTTTAGGTTAGGTTTAGTTTGGTTTGTCTTTGTTTAGTTTTAGTTAAAGATTGGATTATAATCTTATCTTTGTTAGCACAGATGTTTAACAGCTATAATGTTCCTTCTGTGTTTATGCTATAGCAGCATCCCATAAGTTTTAGTATGATGTGTTTTTGCTTTCTTTTATCTCAAAATATTTTTTAATTTCCCCTTTAGTTTCTAAGGATTATGTTAAGTTCCACAAGTTTATGAATTTCCCACATTTTCTTCTTTTGCTTTCTGAGTTCATTCCATTATGATCAGAGAACATACTTTGGATACTTTTCAACTTACTGAGGTGCTTAATGGTGTTTCTGAAGAATGTTCTATGTATACTGGAGAAGAATATAATGTAGTTCTTATTAAGTGGTCTATAAATATAGATCTAACTGGTTTATAGTCAAGTCTTCTTAGCTGTTATGTCTGTTATTGAAGGTGGGGATATAAAGATCTCCAACTATTGGTAATTGCCAGTTTCTTCCTTTAATTTCAGTTTTTATGAGTTTTGCAGCTCTGTTATATATGTTGATAATTGTTGTGTCTTCCTGATCCTTTATTATAAAATGTCTTTTGATCTATAGTAACAATTTTTATCTTAAATCTATTTCATCTATGTAGTCATTCCAGCTCATTTTTGGTTACCATTTGCACGGTATATATCTTTTTCTGTCAATTTACTTTCAACCCTTTTGTGTCTTTGAATCTAAACTGTGTTTTGTAGAAGCAGACAGTTGATTGTACCCTGTCTTTTACTTCACCTATCCTAGCTTTAATCTGGATAACTCATTTTTTATTTTCTTCTCCTTTCATAGATCAATAATCTAATACAGTAGTTGTCAACCTTTTTGGCACCAGGAACTAGTTTTGTGGAAGACCATTTTTTCTACCAATAGAGGTGGAGTGGGTGGTGGTTTTGGGATTGAAACTGTTCCACTTCCCATCATCAGACATTCATTAGGTTATCATAGAGAGCACACAACCTAGATCCCTCACATGCGCAGTTTGCAGTAGGGTTCATGCTCCTGTGAGAATCTAATGCCGCTGCTGATCTGACTGGAGACGGGAGTAATGCGGAGCGGCTGTAAATACGATGAAGCTTCACTTGCTTGTCCACTGCTCGCCTCCTGTGCGACCTGGTTCCTAACAGACCAATGGCCAGTGCCGGTCTGCGGGCTGGGGGGTTTGGGAACCCTGATCTAACACAAGGTGATTAAGACAATTGAGGATGGTGACATTTGGCTGAGTTTTTTTTTTGTTTTTGTGTTTTTTTTGAGAAGGAGTTTCGCTTTTGTTACCCAGGCTGGCTGAGTTTTTAAAGGCAGTATCGTCACAAATGATTGTTAGTAGACTGGGAAAATGAAATTAAGTAGCTGGCATCACCATTTAAAATGCTGTAACTGTTAAGCAGATATAAATAGAACACTGTCTTCAAAATGTATCATGTATTACTATTGGTCACCTGTTTTTCTAGTATGGAGTGTTGAATAAAACAAGGAGATTGATGTTTGATCCAAATGAAAGACATGAATTGGCGTTAATAAATAAAGCATTTGCTTTTACTGTACAATAATTAGGTGAGGTGGTTAAACTATACTCCAGGTACTGTCATCCTTATCTTCACTCTTAATATACTAGAAGCCATTTGATTTACATGTTTCTGTAGGGTCATTTATTTTTAAACTATAGCAATTAGCAGCTAATTTTTAATTAGGCCAAAGAGTATTAGCATAGTATCTGTTAAGCTTTAACTAGAAACAAAGATTTTTTTTTTTTTTTTTTTTTTTTTTTTATTACATGATTAGTAAAGGAAAGGGTCTAGATTCCATCTAACCCCTTGGTTTGGGCAGAAAATCCATATTCAGATAGAGATGAATTCATGTAAAATTCTCAAGAGCTTTTTTTGGTTGCAGTATGTTTTTGAGTAATGATCTGGATAAAATTAAATGTGCCATAATTGGTGTGTTGGACTTAACATATTTTTTTCCCTTTTTCTTCCAGTTAAAGGCATTAGGATTTCCCGAAGGACTTGTGATCCAAGCATATTTTGCTTGTGAGAAGAATGAAAATTTGGCTGCCAATTTTCTTCTACAGCAAAACTTTGATGAAGATTGAAAGGGACTTTTTTATATCTCACACTTCACACCAGTGCATTACACTAACTTGTTCACTGGATTGTCTGGGATGAACTTGGGCTCATATCCACAATACTTGGTATAAGGTAGTAGATTGTTGGGGGTGGGGAGGGAGGGCTCTAGGATATAGGGCAGGGATAAATACAGTGCATGTCTGCTTCAGTTAGCAGATGCCGCAACTCCACACAGTGTGTAAAATATTATACAACCAAAAAGCAGCTTTTGCAGGTCTTTATTTCTTCTGTAAAACAGTAGGTAACTTTTCCTAGGTTTCACTCTTTTTAGTGTACTAGATCCAGAAACTTAGTGTAATGCCCTGCTTTATATTTCTTTGACTTAACATTGGTTTCAGAAAGAATCATAGCTACCTAGAATTTACAGTCTCTGTTTCATGGCAACACTGGATAATGGCTTTGTGAAATTTAAAAAATTTTTGTAGCGACTGTAAACAGAAATGCCAAATTATTGATGGTTAATTGTTGCTGCTTCAAAAAATAAGTATAAAATTAATGTTTAAGGAAGCCCATTCTTTCATGTTAAATACTTGGGGTGGGAGGGGAGAAAGGGAACCTTTTCTTAAAATGAAAATAATTACTGCTATTTTAAAATTTCTTGATCATTGAATGTGAGACCCTTCTAACATGATTTGAGAAGCTGTACAAGTATAGGCAGAGTTACTTTCCTGTTTACATTTTTTTTTTGTTTTGTTTTGGGGAAAAATTGGTAGGTGTCTAATTACTGTTTACTTCATTGTTACCTTGCAGTAAAAGTTTTAAAACAACCATTGCATGTTTGCTTTTGATGTATCCCTTTGTGAAATTAGCACTTTTGGGGCCAATGGAGAAATGCAGCATTCACTCTCCGTCTTTTCCCCTTCCCTCAGCAGAAATGTGTTTATCAGCAAGTCGTGAGTCAAACTGCTGCCTTTTAGAAAAATTCACAAAATGCTGATTCAGTTCAAAATTAATGCAAATGTTTCAAAACTGGGTTTCTGTTATTTGTAAATGCGTTTCTTTATTAGATAAGAGTGTATTACCATTAAAATCATTAGTATATTGCTTTCAAAAAGAGATGGTAGACAAAACTATAATCCAGCATCTTTTATTGCATTGGAAAGACTGGCAGAATCTTTTGGAAGGGCTGGGAGAATGTGGCTGGAAAGTACTTTGGAAAATATACAATCAAGATATCTCATGGCATATTAAAAGAAAAATCTTAATAGCAGTGTTGGCTTTTATTTGGATTTTTTCATCTCAGTTTTTTCTTTGCATCTCCTTCATTGGCATTGTTATTTGATCATAAACGGGACAGATGTCTACTTGTTCAGTTTTTCAAATCTGTTTTCCTGAGTATAAATAAGAGTATTTAAAGAAATAATTTGGGTTGTTTTTGTTTTTTGTTTTTTTAAACCATCTGATACTGAGTAAGAAGATGAATTTGTACAGATTTCTCTCTCTATAATTCCTCAATATCTTTGCACAGGTTGGTGATGATTTTTAAGCATCTACATCATGCACTCATAACCTATTATGAAAAGAAATGAAACTGTCTGGGCATGGGGGCTCATGCCTGTAATCCTAGCACTGTAGGAGGTCAAGACGGGCAGATCACTTGAGGCCAGGAGTTCGAGACCAGCCTGACCATCATGGTGAAATGCTATCTAATACTAAAAATACAAAAATGAGTCGGGCATGGTGGCGCCCACCTGTGGTCTCAGCTAGTTGGGAGGCTGAGACATGAAAATTGCTTGAACCCAAGAAGTGAAGGTTGCCGTGAGCCAAGATCACACCACTGCCAATAAACATGAGAGGCTTTTGGATTTTATATTACTTGTGTGTTTTATAATGGGTCATGCATAATTTCCCAGGAGAATAAAATGAGAATTTGTAAACATGTTCATCTTTCAAGGCAGAGCAATAAGTTGAGAAAAGAGGTGGCATTTCTGGTGGGATAATGGAATACTCATTTATTTTACGACATACTCTGTCTACTCAGAGCATAGTGAAAACTGGAAAGGAAAAAAAACAGCCTTTTCCTTGGAAAGTGACAGCAGAAGGTGGCATGGAGCTTTTGTCCTTGGACAACAAATCTGCACATACTAGGATTAATAATTATCAGAAGACAGCTCAAGCCAAGTTTTGATTGTTTCTTACAGTACCTTGTTTATCTGCTTAAAGAATCAGCTGACACACCATAAAAGAAACAGGCTTGTTGTGCCTTTTGCTGTTACTGTTTAATTTACGAACTGTTGGTAAATCTCTTAATGTAAGTGGCTATTTGACTTTGGAATTTTGCGTTTGAGGTATACTGTCATTTCTTGAAATACTTTTATTGTTTAGTTGCTCTGTGAGAAATATGAGGAAGCCTAAGTTTGTATTTGTAAATTTCTTACACCATCCTCTAGTCAAATATTTTTTTCATTGTTTAAAAATACTAAAGTGTTCCAATATAATTTTTTCCTGTACTGGATGGCTAGGATTCTAGAAACTTGATTATAAAATATTTTCAATACATCCAACATTGCATTTCTCATTTTTTAAATGATTCTGTCACAAAGAATCAGATTGAAAGTTGACAATGCTTCTGTCACTGATACTTCTTTTTTCTTCAGTAATTGGTGAGTGTAGCATGTAGGAGGCGCAGGCACTAGATTGACTTGACTGGGTCTCCTGGTTCTTTTCTCAGCCAACAAAGAGATGGGCTAGTTGATGGGATGTCAGTTAAGTTTAGTGAGGGCTTTTAGGGAATGCATAAAATTTCCATTATTCCATACTATTTGTCTGAAGCAGCCAGCAAAAGCCTGCTGCAGAATGTTCTACCGAAAGTAAGCAGTTGCAGGGAATGGGATGTTCTGACCCAGTCACTGCTGGTGGATTCTCCAGCTATGAAGTTCAGTGGCCTCTGTCCATTTTTCACCCCTAAGGCAAGACCTGGCAAACTACAGCTTCATGAGCTAAATCTGGCTTACACCTGTTGTGTGGTCCATGAACTAAAAGTGGTCTTTAATTTTTAAATGGTTTTTATTATATATGTTTTTTATCAACTGAAGGTTTCAATTTACATTTCAGTGTCTATAAAGTTTTGTTGAAACACAGGCATGCTCATTTGTTTACATATTGTCCGTAGCTACTTTTGTGCTCCACAGATTTGCTTTTGGATAGCTGCAGCAGACTATGTGCCCTGCAAAGCCTAATCACTGGCTCTTTACAGCAAAAGTTTGGTCCCCCTGTTCAAAACTGACTAGTCCACCCTAAGTTCTGTGATGCTTATTTCTCTCTTAACATTCTGGACTCGAGTTCACGTCTTAGCTTTAGTTCAGCTTCCATGTGACCATCATAGGCTCTTTCCAGAGGAGTGGTATCACCCCTATTATCCACTGTACTGATGTACTGACCTACTGGTGTCTAAGTTACTTTTGGCTATTGCTACACTGTTTCTTATCCTTACAATAAGGTAATGAAGTTCATCGCCACACTGTCAAAAGCGCCCAGCATAGTATTATGACCAGTCAATCAGAAAAGCAAAGCCAGGTGAATGCATCTGGAAATCCTTATGCCCTGGGATTGGAGTTGGGGCAACTGGAGGAAGCATCTTAACTGCAGCTGGAAGAAGAGAGTGGTAGGAACCCTGGTGGGAGAAATAGCAATTGGACTTGTTTTGGGGCAGGGGTTGAGGGGGGAGAGCTTCCAGAACTGCATACTTTGTGTATGGGAGTATTGAAAGGGGAGTGATGAGACTGAGAGACACTTGGACTTGGTGGGAAAAAAAAATGCAGTACTGCCAGTAAAATTTGGGAAACTGCAAGAACAATAACAAGCTGGTTGTAAAGAGCCTTTACTGTGGTGAAGAAGTTAGATTGGGAAAGCAGTGTTCCATCTTGTAGGCTTTTCACTGTGGAGAGGAGGCTGGGAGGACCAAAGAAACCAATGACAGGTTTGCTTCATGTGTGGTATGGTGCTGCGGATACCGAAATGGTCTCTGCGGTTAAGCTTGATGTACTGTGACAGCGGCTATTTTAATAGTAATGGATTCTTTACAGATCTAACTTGTCTTACATGAGCACAAACTAGAAAACAGTCATCCTGGACTTCTGCCTCATGTCTTGTTCAAACTTAGTTTTCCATTCTTCCTGCCTTTGATTTATGCACTCCTCATCTTCCTATTCCAGAGCTTCCTAACTCAGCTTGCAGTAGGTATAGATGTTTCAAGATAGTGATTTTCCTCAGCCCATGAGGTCTTCAAGGCAGCTGGGGAACCTGGGCTCTAACCCTAAGCGACCTCATCTGTTTTGTTTTACAAGTATCGTGTTTGCCATGAAAGATCAGGAAGCTCTGTCTATACTTCTGTTAGCTCTCTAGATCAGCTTTGCATAAGTCAGGGTTCTCTAGAAAAACAGAAAAGATTTATTACGGAAATTAGCTCATCTGATGATGGAGACCTAGCAATCCCACAGTATGCTGTGTGCAAGCTGGAGAAGCTGGAAAGGCACTGGTGTAGTTCAGTCCAAGATCAGAGGCCTGAGAAAGCCGAGGGTGGGGTCAGGTGCACTGGTGTAAGGCCCATACCTAGGACAGGAGAAGGTGGATGTTTCAACTCGAGCAAATTTGCCCTTCCTCTGCCTTTTTGTTTGGACCTTCAACAGAACGGATGACACCCACCTGCATTGGTGAGGGTGGGCATCCTGTACTCTGGTCTACTGATTGAAATGCTAAACTCTTCTGGAAACACCCTTACAGTCACACCAGAAATACCATTTTGCCAGCTATCTGGATGTCCCTTCACCCAGTAAGGTTGACACAAAACCATCACAGGCTTCTTAGCTATAAATGGCCCTCCACACTTCAGTGTGCTGACCAGGACTGGAACTGCCAATTGGGTTGCCACCTTGAGGTTCATGGGATGTTTGCTATGGATACTGGATTTGGATGTTGACAGCTTCCACCTCTGTAAGTCCAAAATTGTTTGAAAACTGCTTTTGTTTCGCTGTACCATCATGCAAGCCATATGGGTTTTGTTTGCACACAATAGCAGATCGAGCCCAATATATTGGTTGAAAATTTGTTGAGAATGAATTGCTGGTGGGACTATGTCTTAGAATAGCATTTGTTATTTTTTGTACAGAAATTGTCAATTAGGCTTGCTTCTGCCTAATAGCATTTTGACTATAATTGTTATATTGTCTTCAGTTCTAAGGTAATTGCAGTTAAACTCTTTTTAAATCAATTTGTTACTACTTAACTGTAAAGTATTTTTAGCTATATCTTTAACTGTTGTGACTCAGGATGGTTTTATTATGTTTATACCATGTTTTCATTTTTGCGAAGAGCATTGGCAGGTTTTCAACTTGCAGAAGAGTTGCAGGAACAGCGCAGAGCACTCACACATACCACACCACCACCTTAGAGAACCTTTTAAAACTGTACACTATGCCAACATTGTCCTCCAAGCGAAAGGGCCCAATCCCGGTTATATGCTGCATTTTAACTGCATTTAATTAATCTCCAGTTCACTCACTCAGTCCCTCTGTGATCTTTATGACCTTAACATTTTTTGAAGACTGTGGGACAATTGTCTTATAAAATGTTTCTTAATGTATGTTTGGTGTTTCCTCATTACTACACTTGATATGCATGTTCAGAGGAAACACAAGTGCTGTTGTGTCCCTCACTGCACCCCATAAGGTGACACGGTGTCAATGTGTCCCATCATTGGTGATGTTCACTTGAACCCTGAGGAAGGTGATGTCTGCCAGCCTTCAATGTAAATTTACTCTTTGTCCCTTTGTGTTGGATAATTTATAGGGAGATATTTTGAGCCTTTGTAAGTACCGTGTTTCTCATCAAAATTTGGCCCATTCATTTTAGTATTTATTCTTGCCTGAATTATTACTGGAATGGTTTCCAAGTGGTGGTTTTCAAATTCCTTCTACATTTATTAGTCATGTATTCTTACTGTTTTCCTCATTATTTCTATCTGTATGGACTCGGATTCCTATTTTATTCAATGGTGTAATCCCTTACTATCATTACTTTGATGTTGGAATTGTCCAAGGTTCTGTGATTGTGTTTGTGTTTTAGTAGAGACAGGGTTTCACCATATTGGCCAGGCTGGTCTCAAACTCCTGAGCTCAAGTGATCTGCCTGCCTTGACCTCCCAAAGTGCTGGGATTACAGGCTTGAGCCACCGCGCCTGGCAAATTGTATGTCTTCTTAAAGCTGGCGTCTGTGTTCTGATATGCCATTACCCTCTGAATACTTCCCTAATTTCTGGCGCAGTAATGTATTCCAGGCTCTTCCACTTCCTGTGCCCTAGTACAGAAATCAGCCATTTATCAAGGAGCTCTAGCTCCCCATAATATAGATTGTATTTAGAAAGCA